ATCTCATATTTGATATGACAATAAATCAAATAATACTTATTAATGTACCTGGTAACTGTCCATTAATATTCTTGTGTAATATGACCTGTCAGTCATAAACAACATATATTCGCATTTAATATGACCATTAAACGTATTAATTGGTCATTAATAATATTTACCTTTTCCTGATTGTGGTAGCCGGTCAGTTGTCTGTTTTGACTCCGGATTCTCCTTAGCCAATCGGTCACCAGGTATAGTACATTAAGCCCCCCAAGTCCGATTTAACCGTGCGGTTTTAGCCGAGGTTAACTATAGGGCTTATGCGTTTGAGGGAGGTTGTTGTATCTTCTTTGGGCCGAACGGTTTCACGTATTGAATCTTTGTCATTTGTACTATACAACTGATTGTCTGCATACTTGACCCTTAGTCCTTGTTATCAGAGCTTCCTGGTGAGGGGATTGTAACCGCTCGGTTGAGAAGGATTTTCCCCTCAATCTTTGTCCTTCAATCTTGACGAGAGGGATTTACCTCTCGGTCAAGAGGGATTTACCTCTGTCTTTAACTTCAATGAGAGGAGTTTACCTCTCGGCCGAGTGGGATGTACCGCTCGGGTCTTTGTCTTCAATCTTGACGAGAGGGATTTACCTCTTGGTCCTTAACTTCAAGGAGAGGAGTTTACCTCTCGGCCGAATGGGATTTACCGCTCGGTCTTGTCTTCATCTTGACGAGGGATTTACCTCTAGGCAAGAGGGTATTACCTCTTGGTCCTTAACTTCAGGAGAGGAGTTTACCTCTCGGCCGGAATGGGATTTACCGCTCGGTCTTGTCTTCAATCTTGACGAGAGGGATTTACCTCTAGCCAAGAGGGATTTACCTCTGGTCTTTAACTTCAACGAGAGGAGTTTACCTCTCGCCGAGTGGGATTACCGCTCGATCTTGTCTTCAATCTTGACGAGGGATTTACCTCTCAGCCAAGAGGGATTACCTCTTGGTCTTTAACTTCAACGAAGGAAGTTTACCTCTCGGCTTAAGTGGGATTTCGGTCTTGTCTTCATCTTGACGAGAGGGATTTACCTCTCTTTGTTATACTTCAACGAGAGGAGTTTACCTCTCGGTCGAGTGGGATTTACCGCTCGGTATTTAGCTTCAAACTCTTCCTGAGAGACTTCGTCGTTGAATATGAACTTTAAGAAAGTTAGCAACCAGTGACTGAGCATGAATTATTAGGCTTAATTTATTCCATAATGAAAGCATAAGACAAGAATAAGAGTCTAAATCAAATGAAATTGAATTTAAACATGACATTAATAAAGTTTTGGATGTTTCTCCTCAGTTGATAAATCCACGGACCCGATCGTTCACAATGACAACTTAGACTACGGCTACCGCTCCGCCTTCGCTCGCCCTTCCCTGCTCGGGACTTCTTCGCGAATATCCTTCTCTGGGGAGGCTTCTTGTTTCCTTCATGGTGTCCCGTCCGAACAAGGCTCTCTATTTTATTTTTTAGTGTGATGCAGTGTGATTTTATTTTTTATATTTGAGTATGTTGTTCCATGATCCTCTCTAGCTGGAAAAATAGTCGTAGGTTTCGTTACACAATAATTGTTTTTCCTATTTTATCGGTTTAAAAAAGATGTTTGTAAAAAATTAAAGTTAAAATTTTAAGTTAGGTTTAAGATATGAATTGAAATTGTTACTATTAATTATTTATTTAAAAAAAATTATTTTTGTCTTGTAATTTTTTTAGTTTTTTGAAGTTCTATTTTTTAATTTTTTTATTAAATCTTATTTATAAGAGTGAATGCATAACATCAATATATTGTTCAAATGAACATTTTGTTGTTCCAACTACGTAAGTTTGTCAAGTGAAATGTCCTTGAATAGATATAATTTAATATTTTAAAAATTAATTTTGCATGATTAATTGTTTTATATTAAAACATGGATTTATAATAATATAGTGTGATTGATAAATATATTCTTCTACAAAATATTGAGATTGTGATGTTTGTAAATAATAATAAAAAAGTGATATTACATAAGTCTCAAATTGTCTGCAATTTGTATACTGTTTAATGCCAACTGAATTTAAGGTGAGTCAATATGAGAATTAAGAACTTATTTTGGTAAAACATATGTGAACATATCTATATAGATAGAAATGGATAATAACAGAGATAACATATACTAAAATTGTTAATGTTGATATAAATAAGTTTCACATCAAATAAAATAAAAGATGAACATGAATTTATATACACATAAAATGAACATAAATTTATATATATATAAGATATTTTCATTAATATAAGCTTTTTGGAGTTAAAACGTTTGTTCACTTAGATTGCCAAAGCAGATTTGATTAACCAAAACATAAAATGAAATTGGCAATATTTGGAACAAGTTGAAATATAAAGGTGATGAACTTTTTCATAAAATTAAAACTTCATAATTAATTAGTTATCAGACAATTCATTATATCTAATCATTAAATTTAATTTGTAGAAGATTTATACTCTCGTGAATATCGATTTTCTTTTAGTAACAGAGTATTTGATGCATCATATGTATAAATATTGATTCTTATTATACAACTAGGTAAATAATAGACTTAAAATTGCATATCAAAATGTTATAGTTTGATCACTTACTATATTTTATTTAAGTATGAACAAAATAAATGGTGGTAGCTCCTATATCTAGAAAAAACTGAGAGCAAGATTAAGTTGGAATGAATTTATATTTACCTTTTTTTTTTATTTGAATTAACAATTTGATTGAGTAATTTGGTTATAAATCTAATTCGAAGCATATATGAAAAGAGACAAGGTGAATCCTACTTTTTAACATAACATCAATCTTATAACTATGTAAATTTAAATATACAATAAAGTAAGTATACAATTAAAGTTCAAATATATTTATGATATAATTTACAGATTAATAACATAATATAAAATATTAATTTAATAATAATTATTTATATAAATCAATTATACTTATTTATTATTTTTAATTTTACAATCAGAAAGAGATCTCACATAAACCAATATGTGTAATATAAGTGTAGAGAATCATACTTCTTACGTAAGGGATTGAAAATTTGTTGGATTATATTAAGGCAGTAGTACCCTAGTTCACCATAAAAAGAGTTCTCACTTCATACTTTCAAATATATACTATAGATATAGTATAACCGGTATAGTTATATATAATATATATACTAGATATTCTATATATTAATATATATATATATATATATATATATATATTTGTAGATGATTATAAAGAGTGTCTTCAATTGTGTATAGTAGGAGTAATCTCTTTCAGAAGATCCAAAAGTATTTAAAACTAAGTTGCCTCCACTCAACAAGAATTTGTTCATTCACAAAAGGCAAGACTCTGGCAAATTGCTTCAGAAACTTGAGTCCATCAGCACTAGAGTAATATCATTTAATTATACTAATCACATTTTGTTACAAGTGTTCTTTCTTAGAATGTGCTATCAGAGTTAAGAGACTTGCAATAATGGGTCAATTATAATAATTCTCATAGTAATGATATATCTGAATTAGCTATTTGTATCAACCAAAATCGTCCCTCCCTGGTTAAAGTCAAAAGGACAAATCTCTCACATATGNAATAAGTACATTTATTTATACGCGTATTAATTTGGTTTCTATTGTAGAAAAAATTATACAATCAAACCCTAATCATTAACTATGTCGATCAGCGTTGACGAAACAGTGATTTAGCGGTTTTTAAATTACTTGGCACAATAACAATCGGTGAGGTAGAATTTTGTTTTCTAAAAACAAAATGGTGAAAAATAGGGTTTACTCGTAAGGGTTCAATTAGCGAAATTAAGAATTGGTTTGTGCGTTCAATCAGCGAAATCAGTGATTGAACATTAAGTGAAGATTGAAAAAGTGAAAGAATTTTTCATCGGTGAGAGCGAGTTCGTTGGAATCGAAGTCTTTGAAGAAGGTGATCATTAATAATATTCATGACGAGCAAGATAATAAAAAATGTTATCTTCATCTATGTGAATAATTTTAATGTCAATGTCCGGATTAATATATTATAAATATTTATAACCGTTTTTATTGAGTTGAATGGTTAAAGATGGAAGAGAAATTAATTATGAGAAAAATATCTATTGGAAAAAAAGAAATATCATTATGTATTTGGTAATTATTTTAATAATCACAAGTTATTTCTTATTTTCTATCTTATAGACTTATTTTATCAATATACACATATTTAATAAATAATTTTATCATTTTAACATATTCTCTAGTTTTAAAATATATATTCACTATCTCTTATTTTTTTATGAATAGTATTTATTTATTTATTTATTTATTTATGTTTTAAATAAAATAATACTTCCTTCAATTATTTTATTTAAAATAATGTATTAATTAAAACTTATACGATTTTTTATGAAAATAAAAGATTAAATTAAAAAAGTAAAAAATAAGTAGCTTTTAATTACTAAAAAATCACACAAGTAATGTGCATTTAAGAATTTAGATAAAGTGATTATTATTTTATTATAAAATGATAAATGTCTATTTTAAAACTAATGTGATTTAAAACAATATCAGAGAAGGTATGTGTAAATTTTTTTTCTTTTATTAAAGTAATGTACTTTTTTTAAAAAATAATTTATCTCTATCATTTTATATAAAAGAAACTATTTAATTGTGCTTTTCAATGTTAAATTCCTATTTTTAATTATTCTGTTACAAAATATTTTTTAAGGAAACAATAATAATAATAATATTTAAAATTAATTAAAATTTCATACTTATTTAAAATGTGTTTTAGTCTATAACAAAAAGTTTATATTTTTTAAATTACGATGATACCCAAATACTAACATATTTATTAATAATATCTAAACAATCTTATCATTGAAAAAAGAATAAACATCTTTTTCTTCGTATCACTTCATATTAAAGCTCAGTTATTAAAAATATTCACCTTATACTAAGCACACCAAACACCAAAGGTAAAAAAGAAAGGTAAAACGTTATTCAGTAAAGGTAAATCGAACAAAATATGTATAACATAATGCTAGTCCATTAAAAAGCAAAAACTAATTCAAACAGTTTCAAACATATAAATATAACATAACGCTAGTTTTGTGCCACTTCAATTTGGAGGAGGGAAGAAAATGGCATCCGCATTCCTCTTTGAACGAAAGAGTTTCTCAAGTTCTTCATCCACATTGAAAGCTGCCTGCAGAACCGATGGTGAAAGAGCCTTCCATGCCCCAATACTTCCAGCCAGGTGAGTAAATACAGGACTGTCACAGCAACAATCATAGCCATTTTTTCAGTTAATATGCACATAGGTTCAAAACTATTCACAACCAAAGAGATATGAACAAATAAGTAACACTTTAAAACATAAAAAAAATCAGTGTATTTTGCAAATACAATATAAAGAATTCAGTAAACAAATCCAAATTGTACTCATGATTGGCAAGTAAAGCAGTTATCAGTAGTATACTTCTGAAACAAGGAAACAGACATCAATGGATGAAACAACAATGAATAAAAAACATTGGAAATTGTGTGTTGAAAAAGAAAAAACTCACTTGGGGGTAGTGATGATAGAGAACCACTCGAGGCCATCAGAGTCAGCAATCTTGGACACAACAAAAAACCTTGGTACAATGAACAAATTTCCAGCTTTCACAGTTGTCTCCAAAACCCTACGACCATCCACACCAACAACCTGAGCACGGCCACTTCCCCTCACAATGTATGTAACCTGATATGCAGAATCACAAGAGAATCCTGGAGAACACATGGCGTTTCCATCCAACCTAACAAGGTCTGCTCCCAGACCAACCTCACCAACCAAGGGAAGGTTCTTGGTGTTCAACACCACAACCCTTCCACCATTCTTGATGTCAACATCCAATGGAGCCTCTTCACAGTTCAATGCCATGCCCTTCCTATGCTCCTCTTGAGGCTCAGGAAGCTGGATATTTCCTTCAACCTTCACAATACCCTTACCTGATTGATTCCCAACAAGGGCTTTCACATCCTTTTCTTCCAAGTCCCAAGCCCTCCCCACAAACTCAGTTGAAAATCCAGTGAAGATTCCATTGGCACCAGTCAGAAAAAAGTCAGTGAAATCACCAGTCTTGTGGGCTTTTGATGTTTCACCCAGGAACAGAACTACCAACTCGGTATCCTCCTTGTTATACCACCATGTCACTACACCAAAAGGGAGTGCC